GGCCTTTTCACATAAAAAAACATAACCATTTGTGCAAACCATGACAAAGAATGTCATCTGAATGAAATGCTAAAAAAATTGGCATTCTTGGATTTTAAAAAGGTAAATGTGGAGAAATGTCAGGAGTTAAGTATGAAAATATAAGTAGTATAGAATATATATACGTGTTTGATTTAGTTCTGAATCCATTAGTCTTTTGGGGAAGGATAATTTGACTAGACCTGAATTTTAGGAAAGTAATTTTAGCAATAGTAAAATGAAGTAATGCTCAAGAGTGAAGGCAGGATATCCAACTATGAGTCTATTGTAGTAATTTTTACACAAAATGGATAAAATATAAAGGCATGGGCAAAGACAGTGGTAAAAGAGATGAAAGTGCCTTGTCAAGACAATTATTATATAAGCCCTTCAAGATTTGCTAATTGTAGGTAACTAAGAGGATGAAGGATATTTTCCCATAGATTTCTAGACTGACCGGTTGTGAGAAGAGTGACAAAATAAATGGAATGAAGTAGGACAATTGGGGCTAATAAATTTGGAGTATGGTGAGAGAAGAAAATCAAATAGAAGAGAGAGGGAGAGAAGAAAATTGTCTTTTAGGGAAAGGATGTCATTAAATCTATAATCAATATGGGAATAACTGAAAATACACATATCACTGAATCTTCCAGTCTGGGAACATGGTATAAGTCCCCTTTTCTTGGACTTCTTTATCTCAGCAATGTTTTGTAATTTGGTTTTGTATGTGTTTTCTTAGATTTATCTATAATGATTATGCAATTCTGATATTTCTCTTAGAACCTTGCTAAATTCACTTATTAGGCATAGTAGCTTTTTTGGTAGATTTTTTAGGATTAATTTAATTAATTAAATGATTAATTTGTGAGTTAAAAGAGTTTTGCCTTTTCCTTTCAAATCTGTGAATACTTCTGTTTTCATGCCTTATTGCACTGGGCCAGAGTCTCAGTACAAGTGGAATATAAGTTGTAAGAATGGACATTCTATGCTAATGCCATATAGTGTTATTTTCATATTGTGCTTTTCATGCTCTGTTCCAGAATTTCTTTAAATTCACATGATGAAATCAAATAAAATATTAAGGCGGGGAAGATACTCTATATGATACTATAATAAATAAATAATATGTGATATAACAAAAAGCAAATGAAACTGGATCAAACAAATTAAAATTGTGAGCGGATGTTGGGTGATAATGGTGTGCCAGTGTAGGTTCATCAATTATAACAAATGTGCATGTCCGGTAGGGAATGTTGATAATGGAGGAGACTGCACGTGTGGGGGGAGTCGGCTTATGGGAAATATCTGCTTCTTCCTCCCAGTTTTGCTCTGACCTAAAACTGCTCTTAAGAAAAAGGAGCAAACAAATCTTCAACATCGATGAAAACAAAATACTATGTTGCCAATCTTGATTAAATAAACATCCTGTATCAGAGGCTGCTGGACAGAAACAAACCTGTATCACTTAAAAGTGCTTCTGTGTGTAAGCCGTATTCTATTTAGGAATAAAAATCCTAAAAGGCCACTATTTTGTTTATTATGATAATTTTATTAAGTCATATTAAAAAATGTTGCAAGATACTAGAAAAAGATGTCACAGTTATTGTTTCTCTGGATCTATTCTAATATAATGCAAGACTTCGGGGACTTTAATTTTTACATGTTATAAAGTTTTGCATTGGGGGAAAACAGGGAAATCATTCTGCCCTTGGGCTTCTGTATTTTTTTATGTGCATTCTACCATGACATGATAAAAAAATGAGAGTTTATTAATGATTGAGACAGAAATGAAAGATGTCTTGACAACCAGAGAAGCCTATTCTGTTTTGAATTAAAATGTAAAAAGAAGGCACCATATGCTAGCATAAGACTTTTCAATACAGCAGTAGCAAATATTAATATTTATAATGCTTTTGCACTGCCCAAAGCATACTTCCTCTGCACTGATTTGTTCATTTGGCAGTTTATGTGACCAACCTTATATTTGTTTTCATGATTTATTGAGGACATAGGGAGAAACTATATGCTTATTTTACCTCACTACATTTTTAACTTCTTGCATTATTCACACCTAACATAATTTTGCAAGACTAATATAGAAAGAAACAAAAAGTGAATTATAGATTCATCTGTAAAGCACAAAAGAAACTCTACAGATATGTATGTTAACATCTAATTCTTTATTTTCTTCATGGAGGTAGACTGTGTCTGTTAAAATGACTAACCCCACAGATTGATCCTCATTGGGATAATAATGGAAGCTTTCATCCAAGGTCCTATAGGATTATGCTTGGGACATCCCATAGGAGAAAAACTAAATCCTCTCACCAGTTCTGACCTGTTGATAAATGTTATAGAATTTCCAGTTTACTAGAACACAGAGGAGAGGCTCATGGGAAATAGTAGTGAAATGGATTTCAGTAGTCAGCAAATCAACTAAGTAAGTCAATGTAAAAATCCAAACACATTGAAATTACAGGTTCTATTTCATACTTGCAGCATATGGTTTTTCTTACCTTCCCCATTGTAAAGCCATGAATTTTATTTTCACTGTACAGAGAACATATAGGTATGGATCAATAATGGTTTTTCTTTGCACCAGTAGAAACATTCATGGTTAGAATGAATGGCTTTCATATTGGTGGCCACAACTTCTATGCTTAGTGGCTTATCAAATAAGTTCTTACTAACAAATTACTGTTCTCTGAGAATTGTGAAAGTTTCTCTGTATACATGGTGCCTTTAGATACAACTCTACCTAAATGTATGTTTCTCCTCCTGACCAAAGCTGACATGGCTAAGGTATCCAGACATGGCTTCATGAACATGTGATCTGTGTAGTAGTCTCTGGGGCATTTCCTTCGAAAGACCCCACACTTGCTATAATGCTCTTTTCTAGGCCTCACTGAATTCTCAATCCTCTTTGAGTAAAAGGCCCCGTATCTTGATTTTCCACTTGGCCCACAAATTATGTATCTTATCCTTATGGTATTGTATTATTTTTACTAACTGTAATTCTGGAATCTTCACTTCCTTGCTCAGAAATTCTCAGTACCACCACATTCATGTTTAGAAAATCCTAAAGTACATATAAAAATATACTGTGGAATTCAATACTACATCTGAAACTTCTACACATACCCCCTTGAAATTGCCTTATTGGGCTTCTGGAAGCTTCAATAAAAGTATCATGTTTTCCAGCACACTGTTTTTATTCATACTAATACTTGCCTGCAATGCTTTTTATTCCCATTCTGTTGTTCACATCTGCCAAATACACTCCTTTATAAAGGCCATCTTCTCCATGTCTCTTTATCTGATTCCCATGTTGAAGAGCTATCTCTTCACTCTCAATGTTCACTGCATTAGAATACCTTCTGGTAGCTGTATTTAATACTAGGCTTTTCTAAATGTAGGAGGTCTTGTTTCTTCTCACACAACTCCCCAAGCAGCTCTCTCCAAGCATTACCTCAAGAATTCAGGTGCTTCTATCTTGTACTTCTGCTTTCTAGAAAACTTAAACTTAGTAAGTTTGTAGCAGAAGAAGAGAAAATAGATGGTTTTGCAGAATATTTTTAAGTTTAAAGCCTGGAAGTGGCTTCGATCACTTTCACTCACAATTCATTGGTCAGTACTCTTGTTATTTGTTCCCAGTATAACTGAAGGACTGTTTGGGAAATGTAGTCTACCTGTTTTCTTAAGAAGAGGAAGTAGTTAACTCAGCCCACATTACTTCTGCCAAACGTGAATAGAGAGAATATATCTAATTCACTTTTTCTCTTCCATAATGTCTCAGCCAAATCTGGATTGTAGGACTTATGCCAGTATTTGTTGAATGGATGATTCAGTGTTATCTAGAGTGCTAACTTCCCTGAAGAGTCCTGAAAATCTCATCATGTATGTTTATCTAGCCAAACTCATAGCCTGAAATACAGCAACAGGACTTCAAAACAATAATTTTTATTGCTTCCACCTTAGAAAGTTTCATGAAAGAAATAGAAAAAGAGTTGAAAGGAGAAAGAAGAAACATTGTATCAGAGTTGTATTTTGCTTGCATTTGAGAAATGTAAACTAGATTTAATATGTGATAATATTCAGTTCTTTAGAAGACAAAAAAATAAGGATAGAGGAGAATAAGTAAAGCATATAGCTTTTGTGTTACTGGAATAATCTGTAGAAGATGTAAGATATGGTATAGTAATAACTTTAAACCTGGTAGGCTAAAGTAAGTACAGCATGAATATATGCTGAACATAGGTATAAAGAGATGAAAAGATGAGTAAGATTCTATGATCATACACTAAGTGTATCTGAGATACCAGAGACCTCAATATTCATGATGTCCTCCTTATATATGAACTACATGAGTCACTCCAAATGCTTGGTGTTTTAAATCAGCCACCTATTGGTGGTATTTATTTTTTTGCTGGAATTGTCTTCTACTCAAGAAAAAAAAATAAAATATAAGCTATTTGGCATCTTCCATTAGGGCCAGGTGTGCATGTCCCTGCATCTTTCTGATGAAGAAAGTACAGAGTATATATGTTAGCCCCAGACACCTTTCAGCATTTCAATACTCAAATCTGTCTCTTAACTGCAGTGCCAGGAAGCAATCTGACATGGAACAGAAGGAGAAGGGGAGAAAGAGAACATAACTTATGGATATTGTATAAACCAGGATTCCAGTAATGTGGTCCTTCTACCCCACTTGCTACCTATCCTGACCTGACCCATTTCTTTAGTTTTAGATACACTTTAAAATTAATGTAGGGAAAAGAGAACCAGGAGATTTGGAGCTCTCAAAGCATAGTTTGGGAAGTTCTGTAGAAGTGGCAAAAAATACTAAGGTCATGTAAATTTCAAGAAGTTGAGAAAGACTGAGATCTTGAGTGTCAAGTGAAAAACAAAACCGTGTGTCAAGTGTTATTAGATAAAATACATCAAAAGCATTTTTTTTTTGCATTTCAAATATCTACTACTTAAAAAATATGGAACACGTCATGAATTTGCATGCCATCCTTGTGCAGGGGCCATGCTAAACTTCTCTGTATCCTTCCAGTTTTTACTATATGTGCTGCGGAAGCAAGCACTCAGAAGCATTTCTGATGTTGTCAAGAGGTATTTCCATGGCATCGTGGTGCTGACAGCCTGACTGAAGTGAGCAGAAGGATAGGAAAGAGAAATATGTCTTCCGAGGAAATCGTGGAGAAATAGGGTGGCAGCCTGAAGGGACTGTGAAGCCAAAGGAGGGCGGTAACCAGCTGACATTAGTAAAAGAATAGAACAGACTGGACGCAGGGTGAGGTTCGTCATGACTTGCCATCTGCAGGTATTCGTACAATGGAAGCGTTTGTGACTGACTGCTCTGTGTTAAATCACCGACTGCCACCTTGTACTTCTGCTTTCTGGAAAACTTAAACTTAGTAAGTTTGTAGCAGAAGAAGAGAAAATAGATGGTTTTGCAGAAACCATCCATGGAGAGATGAAGGACATCCATTACATTGTAGGGCCTTCTCTTAAAAATCAGCTCTGTATGTGGGAACAGGGCTTCTGAGTTGAAGAGGAACATATCCACAAAGGCTCATTTTCTTTCCCATAATTATCATTTAACATAGTTCTGACTCAGCAGGTCTGAATTATATCGCTAAAGGAAAGGCAGATACCCGCTCCTTATAGCGGGAGATCTCTAACAAGATCACGTCCTCAGTCTTGAACTTCCCATGTTGCGCAGTCACATGGAAGTTCCCTATTAATACGCAGTGCACTACGGAGGCGGGCTCTTTCCCTAACAGAGGGATGGCCGCTCTCCCTACTAGAGGGATGTGCAGTCCAGCTGCGTCCAGCCTAAACCCACCCTCGGTTCTTCTCTAGCAAGTTCACAGGGTCATTATGTGCAAGAAACAATTGAAGTTACTCTACTCATCTTAAATATTTTTAAGACAATATGCTGAAAGACAATATTTTGTCCTTGAGCAAACATTGCTCTCCCTCATGGTTGCATTTGATTCCTGACAGCCTTCTACATATCAGCTTCTGTGCCATAACTTCAATTTAAAACTTTACATGAAATCAGTTAGGCTATGTGAACTGATAAGTTAACATATCTGGTGACTTGTCACTCCAGACCCAAAGTAATGCCCCAAGGGGCTCTGCACTGCCCAGATGGAGGCTTTCCCCTTTTCACATTGTGTGTCTTACAGGCTTTTGTGAATCCCTCAAAGTACAAAAGTATCTTTTTTTCTCCATTTTTAATTACCACTGGAAACAACACCCACTGGGGAGAGTAGGAGATAAAAAATTCTTTTAACTACCAGTTTCTATTAATCTCTTCTGGTTCACTCAACATAGGCAGGGGGATAAATGAAATATTACTGTACAGTTCCTTTTTTTTTTTTTTTGCTGCATAGAAAACACTCCAAACTCAGTGAGAGAAAACAACCTTTTTTTTTTTAAGAGGAAAAGACAAAAACACCTAGAGTCCCCACCACTCCAGCAACTTCCCAATTTTTTTTTTGTTTAATTCTGGTTTGCAGCCATATGGCATTGTATTTAAAATTGCAATTAAAGTTTAAATAGAATTTTTTAACCTAATAGTATATCCTAAATATTTCTGCTATTACGCAGTCTTCTTAGTGAAAAATTTAAATGGCTCTAGAGCATTTTATTAAGTTCTGTATTTTGTACCTTTAGTTCCTTAGCCTTCCCCTCAGGTCAGATTTTTGTATTATTTTCAACTGTCCATGGTCTTACATTATGCTACTTGTGCTCTTTAATATTTATTGAACCACTGTCGTGGCCCACATGCACTGTGCTGGGCAGTGGGGATAAGGAGTGTGGGACACATGGTCCTGTGAGGTTGTGAGGTGGACAGACAAGAGCAGAATGAATGGTAGGAAATAAATGCTATGAAGAAGTCACGTCAGATTGAGAGTGAGCATATGGGGGAGGTCCATTTCACATAGGACGGATAAGGAGAGCTTCTCACGGATAAGAAGAGCTTCTCTTAGAAAGCAGTAGTTAAACTGAGACCTAAAGGGAAAGCATCTAAACATGGTAAATTTTGGGAGGGAAAACTATTCCTGGTAGAGGAAAGAGGTTCCGAGGCAGGAAACAACGTGTGTGTCCAAGGAACTAATACAGAAGTAGCTCGAGAGTGGCTCCAGGTGAGTTTTGAAATTCAGGGGCCAGCTTTTGCAAGGCTGTAGGGATGATGATAAGTAATCTGTATCCTTATTTGATGATAAAACATTTCACACTAAAATAATGCTTGCAAACCTTCATTGTGTGTTGATATCCCTCGGCTGTTATGATTTGATCTCCACTGTTACTTACAGACGAGGAAACGGAGGCCCGGCTAGGTTAAATGACGTCTCTGATGTTCCACAGCAGATCAGCGTCTGGGCGAGGAATGGAGACCCATGTCTCCACTGTGCTCTTCTCTCTTTGCCATTTTGCTGTTGTGTCTCACACGACACTCTGGATGCTTTCTTGGTCTCTGTCCAGAAAGTTTATACTTAGATTCTACGCAGGGTCCTTCCACCGCCGCCTAGCTGTGTAGCCGTGTTAAAGATACCACAAGAGGGGTGGGAGGGAGAAGAGGGCGGGGCAGACCTGGCTTCATTAAAACTATGAAAGTATGACCTGGTTGTTCTTTCCAACAGCCAATGGGCAATAGAAATCTGGGAAACCCAACAGGATTCCTAATTTGTCAACAGAACAGCGTAGCCCTGATGAATAGCTTGGAGGGAAGAGGATTTTTTGAAATGTTCTTCCAGTTTTATTGATATATAATTGACACATAAAACTATATTAGTTTAAGAAGTACAACATAATGATTGATACATATGTATATATTGTGAAATAATGGCCACAATAAATTTAGTTAACATTTATTTCCTTAAATAATTTCAATTTTTTTTCTTGTGATGAGAAATTTTAAGATCTACTCCCTTACCAACCTTCAAATATGCAATACAGCATTGTTAACTGTAGTCACCATTTTGTACATTACATCCCCAGAGCACCAGAACTTTTTTATCTTATAACTATAATTTTGTATCTTTTGACTACCTTCATCCATTTTACCCACTCCTACCTGCTGCCTCTGGCAAACACCAATCTATTAACTGTATCTATGAATTTATATTTTTTTCCAGACTCCACGTTTAAGTGAGATCATACAGTATTTGTCTTTCTCTGTCTGACTTCACTTATCCTAAAGCCCTCACGGTCTATCATGTTGTCTCCAATGATAGGATTTCCTTCTTTTTCATGGACGAATTTATAGATGAGGAAACGGGATGTATCCATCTACCTATTTATCTATTCACACACACACACACACACACACACACACACACACAATTTTTTTATATATAATATTTTGTTTATCCATTTACCCATCAGTGGACATTTATGTTGTTTCCATATCATGGCTATTGTAAATAATGCTGCAGTGAACATGGGGGTGCAGCTATCTCTTAGGGATAATGACTTTGATTTCTTGTATATATATCCAGAACTGGAATTGCTGGGTCATATGGCATTTCTCCTTTCACTTTTCTGAGGACCCTCCGTACTGTTTTCCGTAGTGGCTGTGCCACTGCGCATTCCCACCGAGAGCGCACAGAGGCTCCCTGTCCTCCACATCCTCGCCAGCTTCTTGCCTCCCGTCCTTCTGATAACAGCCATTCTAACAAGGGAGGTAATCCCTCCTTGTGGTTTGGATTAACAGTTCCCTGATGATTAATTATGTTGAGTATCTTTTCATGTATCTTTTGGTAATTTGTAAGTTTTCTTTTGAAAAATGTCTATTCAGTTCTTTGCACATTCTTCAATCCTCCTTATTTTACTTTATTGTTTGCTATTGAGTTGTACGAATTCTTATGTACTTCAAATATTAACCGCTTATCAGATATGTTTTAGAAATATTTTCTCCCATTCTGTAGGTTGTCTTTTAATTTTGATGGTTTCCTTTGCTGTGCAGAAGCTTTTTAGTTTTAGTTTTATATAGCCCCATTTACTTATTTTTGCCTTTTTTTTGTTGTTGTTGTAAAATACAAAAAAAAATCATAGCCAAGACACATGTCAAGGAGCTTACCGTCCATGTTTTCTTCTAGGAATTGTGTGATTTCAGGTCTCACATTCAAGTCATGAATTTATTTTCCATTGATTAAAAGGTTGTTTGAAAATAACTTTTTAAAATTATGTTTACAGATAATTTGGATCAGGAATTCAGAATGGGCATGATGGGGAAGGCTGGGAATTACTGGAGAGCTGAAGGCTGGAATTACTCCAATCCTAACTCACTCACATATCTGATTCCTGGGGCTGGCTCTCATGTCAAAACATGTGGACTGTTGGCTGTAACACTTACACATGGCCTCTCCTTGTGTTTTTCTGTATGCTGCAGCTTGGGCTAGCTCACAGCACGACAATGAGTCCCAAGAACAAGCATTCAAAAAGAACAAGGCAGAAGCTCTACCACTTTTTTATGAACTGGCATCGGTTCATAGCATAACTTCTGCTAAGGCAAAAACTTGCTCAAAGACATGGAACATTGACTTGTTCAGTCTTGATTGGAGGAGTGTTAAAGTCCTACAACATCACAGTGTTTACAAAGAATGTAAAGTGGGAGAAAATCCTGCTGTCATGTGCACATTCAAAAGGTTTAACAGAAATGACAAAAACAATGCTAATTATAAATGACCTATCAAACACTTAATATATGCCTGACTCCACATTAAGTCCTTTATAACCAATGAATCATTTCATTAAATATTCATAGCTCTTCTTACATCATACTTAAAGTCAGTAATAAAAATTTTAGGAAAAGGGGAACGTTGTGATAGATAAATTGCTCTGGCTCAGGTAAACTGCCCATGGTAAATAATTTGCCTTTATTCACAAATTCTACACTGGTCCCATGTACACCTGCACTAAGCTCCTGGACAGGCCATGCTGTAGGAAAGGCAATGAGTTCTACTTGAAACAGGTAGTCAAAACTACTTTTGAAACCTGGAAAATTTTTACAATAAATCATGCTTCTATGACATCCTCTACTGGGAAGATTTGACCTTGCTAAGTCTTC